CTAATTTAATTTTTTTACCAAATAGATAGCCAGTATCTCTTCTTATCTCTGTGTTCTTGCCCTGTTGACTGAATCTTTTCTTTTGTGTATTTGTATAACAAAGACAAGTTTTTATGTATACTTCTGTTATGGTTGAGATGCTGAATGTCCCCCAGAGGCCGCATGTGGTCATAGGTGGGGCTTTGGGGCGCTGATTGAATCATGGCTGTGCTGACTTACCATTAGGAGATGGCTCTGGTTGAAGAGGCGGTACTAGGGTGTGACCTGAAAGCGCATAGCTCCCTCCCAGATTCTTCCTGGCCACCAGTATGTCAGTAGCTTTGCTGTTTTCTGTGTTCAAGTCACTGGACCACGAACTGTAAACCTGAACCAGAATACACCTCTCCCCCTTTAAGTTGTGGGTGTTGAGTATTTAGTCCCAGTGAGAAGTAAAACGACTAAAACAACTTCCAAAATCTTAACTCTGTCCTAGTTTTTACTTTTATGACTCATATCGCATAGCTTGCATCGCTAGAACATTCCATAAGTGTAACTTGAATTTTGTAGATGTATGAAAATATTTTAGTTAATGTAGTCATTGTATATTAAAGAGGTATAATTTTATTAGCTAGTTATAAATTTAAAACATAGCAGATAATATAATAGAAGCAATAGATATCTGGTAGATGATATGCTGCCTTGCTTTGTTTGATGTTCTGGTTTTCTTTTATGTATGTATTTGCTGTTGCTATTGGTTATTAGTTTTAGTTTTATTATTATTTGATTTAGTTAATATTATTGGGTTCAGTGTGATATTTTTCTTGGCTATTCTCACTCATTGCCTTCTACAGGAATCTTTGAATCACTTTGTCAAGTTCCCAGTTGGGGTATTGATTAGAGTAGCATTCAATTTATGGACTCTTTTGGCTAAAATTGTCGTCTTTACAACTGAGTGCTTCTCTCCAGGGACATAATGGTTTCTGCTGTTGGACTTTTTCATGCTCTTTAATGTTGTCTTATTTTTTTCCATTTTATTAATCTCTGCTTTCATCTGTGTTGTCAACTCATTTTTTTTTTTTTACTTATTTCATTCTTGTTTTTCTAGCTTTTTGCACTGAAAGTTTAGGTGATTCTTTTTCCATGCTTTTTGAGTATATAAAATTTCCTTTGATAGCTATTTTGATCATAACCCATAGGTTTGACATGTAGCATTCCTTGCTGAAGAAATTTTGCTTTTCATCTTGATTTCTCTTCCATTATTTTTTTCTCTCCTCTCCTCTGCTTTCTTTTTCCCTCCCTTTCTCTTTCCTCTCCTCTTTTTCCCCTCCTTCCTTTCTTGCTTTTGCTCCTTTGTTCTTTTGTGGTATTGGGGAGTGAACTCAGGCCTTCAAACTGAGCTACACCCCCAGCCCTTCTTCTTCTTCTTCTTCTTTTTAATTTTGAGGCAGTGTCTCACTACTGAGTCAGTAAGTTGCTCAGGTTGGGTTTGAACTTTTGATCCTCCTGCCTCGCAAACCAGAGGGCTTGGAATACAGATGTGCACCACCGCACCTCAGTCATCTTGGTTTCTTTATCCACTGAATTATTTAGAGCATTGGCTTTGAATATCCAAATATATTTTGGCTAGTTTTAAATTTTTTCTAATTTCTGGTTGCTTTCAGTTGTATGTTCCGCCTGTATTGCTTCTGCTTTCTTTGAGACCTGAGACTTTTTTATTGCCTAATTCATAGCTTGCAAGACTGTCCATATGTGTTTGAAAATAATTTCCAGTCTTTGTTATTTTCTGTACATCTGTTACACTGAATTTACTAATCCTGTTCTATGAATATTCTAGATCCTTCCTTATTTTTGGTCTCCTTATGTAGTTGTTCTGAAAGAGGAAGCAAAAGTCTTCCTCTGTGAATGTGATATAAATTTCTTCATATATTTGATTATTTTTGCTTTATACTTTTTCTAGGAGGACTTGTTATATGCATAGAGGTTTGTGATTATTATTTCTTCAGTCTTAGAGCAAGTAAACTGAATCTTTATTCTGTAAAATATTTGTGTTTTGCTACTTTAATTTTTAAAATTTATATTCTTTTTTTTCAGATGCTATTGGTACTTTATTTGATTTCTTTTTATTAGTCTTTGCCTGGGGCTTCTTGCAAATTGTTTTATTTTTAACTGTTTGTTTAGTTGTGTCTCATATTAGAATATACCTGGAATGATATATTTACAGATGATATTCCACATCTTATAATGAATCTTTTGAAAAATATATTATATATATTTTCCACATATATTATGCTGGTAATACAGTGGGACTTTCAATCCTAATTTATGTTTTATTTATTGTATTAATGGTTGAAAAACATCTCCTTCATCTTGTATCCCCAGAGCCAACCAGGGGACTAGGTTTAAGGTACTAGGTGTTGATAAAATGCTCGAGTGAAAACTCCTTGATCCCTATTTCTGGTGTAATCTTAGAAAACTGAGGGCAAGATCACTCTGTTGTAATAGGGTTGGAACTAGGGTTCAAATTATTGGTAAAACAGGTTTTGAGAAGGATTTGAGTGCATTATTATATCTAAGGTACTCTGCCTGCTTGTGTAAATTTAACATATAAAGATTTTACATTTTCCTTCTGTATGAGATCCAGTATTAGTTCATGTTGATCATGATGGTGCAGGTAGAGATGAAGAAAAGATCTTAGAACTGGAGAAAGAAATTCCAGATCTCATCTCTATCAGCCTAGCCTTTTATTAGAGAGCACAGAGAAGGAATCTCTCAGTTGAAGGGAATCACACTGTTTTTGTACAAATTTGTGTCTCAGATTTCTTTGCTTTCAGCTGCATCTACCAGAGTGTTAGATAATTTAAAAAGTAATATTATGGCAATATTAGCATTATTTTTTGTTACTTTTTAACATTAGCTTTATTGTAAAGTGCTCGTCCAGCAAAGCCATGCTAATGAGTAAAGATAAGCAGTAGATGAAAGTTGTATTAAAAGGAAGTCAGAATGGCTTGCAATCCATCAGACACAATTTTCTTGCCTTAATTAACAAAAGCATTGAAAAAAGAAAAGAAATTTATGTTTTATTATAATGGAGATAGTTCCCGACTGGGTCAAGGGCCTCCTCAACTTGGCCATACTAATAACAACTCTGGAAAATTTTTTCAGTGCAGAAGGCTAGGTTAATGGATCTCTCAGATTTCTTCTGAGTCTAAAATAATTCCAGCCTGAGTCAGAAAAATCCTATGTGAAATTGTAGAAACAGTTAACTTCATCTGCACTATGTAAATTCTTTGCTGAGCTACTCCCAATTCATAACAGGTTTATCTTTTTCAGGTATTAATCACAGGTTAGATATCCTGTCTCCAAAATACTTGACATCAAAGCATTTCAGATTTAGGATTTCTTTTGAGAGTTTGGAAGTCTATATATGCAGAGATATTTCTTGTCGATGTGGCCAAAGTGTAGGCAGAAAATTCATTTGTTTTGTATATACCATAGGCTGGAGATAATTTTTATAGAAAAATATTCTTACTATCTTTGGGCACAGAAAGTTTCATGGGTGACATTATGTTAAATCAAGAAGCCTTGGGTTTTGAATCATTTCGCATTTCAGATTTTGAATGAGGGATGCTTAACCATTCAGATGTAAGCCATTCAGATTCCACAGTGTGTACTATTGTGTTAAAGCATTGATGTGTACTTTGGTAAGCCACTGCCTGTTCACCGGGTAATGAGCTGAGTATATAAATCCCTCTGCTCCAGTTGCTCTCCTCATAAGGGCAGGGGCTGCCTCAGCGCCCATGGAGGGCAAGGCTAAATTCAGCCTATCTGGGTAGACACTATGGGCCTCCACCTGTTGTGCTGATCTCGGACGTTTCCTCTTTCCCTTCCCTCCTGAAAGGACATTGGTTTGCATTAGACCGTGAGCTGGAGAGAGTACCGGGGCACCCTCTTCCTAGCTTGAATTTCATTTGGAAGCTTACAGGTTTGATCAAAGGTTGAAAGTTCAAGAAAGATGAAGACAGTAAGCCCTGCCCCCATCTGGTGATTTGACCGACCACAAACTGCTCTGTGCTGAGGCTAAAGGTCATCACCAAGATTGAAAAAGATGTAGCTCAGCTGACCTAATGAAGTTCCTCTTTGCATAAAGCCTACACGTCATCCTCAGCATTGTTTTCCAGCCTTGTACAAGACTAATTTTGGCCCCAGCAACCATCTGCATGGTGATCTCTTTGGAGGATGCTGATATTTTAATGGTGGTTTTAAACTATTCTTTTTGGACTATCGTATAGGGGTTCCACAAGCCCTTTGAAGATCCTTAAGGGCAAGCAAGAATAGGGAAGCATGGGTAGGGTTCAGGTCCTCTAACACATATACATACCTTGGCTCACAACGGAGTTGTGTCTCAATAAGCAATTATAAGTTGAAACAATTGTAAATCAAAAACGCTTTTAATACACCTAACCTACTGCACATCCCACTTAGCAACACAGTGCACTAGAGTGTTGGTTATTTCGGCCCATGAGTGTGACTGAAATCTGTGGCTCTTGCTCCTGCCTACCCTTGTGGGAGAGAACCATCCTGTGTATCATTAGCCCAGGAAAAGACCCGAAGTCAGAAATTGAAGTATGGTTTTTATTGACTGTGTATCACTTTTACACCCTTATAAAGTCGAAAACTTTTATGTCAAGGCATCAGAAGTCAGAGATCATCTGTATACTCAAGTAATATATTTGGCAAAAGCCTTGGAAGGAAATCAGTGTATTCTTGAGTGAGGTTAACTCTTAGTGGCAGGACTATATTTCTTTACAGCTCTTTGTCAAAATGTCCACAGTTAAACAGGAAGGAAACTGTAAGATGAAGAGTATCATTTTAAGGCATGAGGCAGAGATTGAGCTCTGCCGAGGAAAGCACTGCTTCTTCCCACGAGGACAGTGTCTTTCAGCAGTCTAAGCTCCTTGGGCTTTGCACACATCATGGCAGGTCTCTGACTGGCCTTTCTAACCAAGTGTCTTTTCCCCCAGAGTGGCTGCAGTCTGTCCAGGCCACCATGATCCTGTCCGTCATTTTCAGCGTCCTCTCTCTGTTCCTGTTCTTCTGCCAGCTCTTCACCCTCACCAAGGGAGGCCGCTTTTACATCACTGGAATCTTCCAAATCCTTGCCGGTAAGTTGTGGGTGGTGAGGCCCATGTGGAAGTTGAGCCTGTCTAACCAAGGGTGTGGTCCCAGAATGACAGATGTTCATGAGTCTGATTGTTGGAGGCTTTTCATTAAGTACAGCTGTGTGTGTGTGTGTGTGTGTGTGTGTGTGTGTGTGTGACATGTGCAAGTGTGTGTACATATATCTTTGAACTTGAGTGCTCTCTACTTCTCCACTGAATGATGTATGATGAAAGAGAACTTAGCTGCTATGATAGGAATATCCCCAACCAGGCCAGACCTGTAACCAGAAACAAAGCTACACATCATCAGAGGTGAGCACTGGGGATATCAGTCTGGCCAAGGCCAGTCTTGAGGCCTTTGTTCCATGGTTATGCTGGGCCCTAGAAACCATCCCTACTCAAGGAATGACCCTGATGTGCTGAGTACTGTTGTTCTCAGGTGCAAAGTCTGTTCTCGGGTATGGCTTCAACCTATAAGTAGGGATAAAGTCACACTGATAATTTCTTGCTCCCTTTTCTGTAGTTCCTAGATTCCCTGGACTCCCACTTACTGTTGTCATCCTCCGGTGTCTTCATTTTGTTATCCCTATGCAACGTGCCACCATTTCTAAATATGGAAGTGTGGCAGCACGTGAAGACACAGGAGAGGTCTCCTTCCCTGCACTGGGTTCCAGAGATTGCTCTTAGTCACAGTGTGAATAATCCTGGAAATTTCTATCTCAGAGAGTGATATCTTCTAACTTTATCACTAGACTCTGGTCAGTGTCTTGCTTCATTGACTCTTATCTTTCCATCTGGTGACTTTCTGCCAGTTGGCTGAATCTTCAGGGCACTGGAGAGAAGTAGAGACAGCTAGAGCTGTGGACTCTGTAGTCCACAGAGGTAATAAACTCCACCTGTACCAGATTATGCCTGGTACTATGAGGTGTTCTCAGTTCTGGCCCTCTGCACAGCAAAGGTTAGAGCATCTCATGATTCGTGGGTTGTGAGAACATCCACAGTGCAGGCCGCATCACCACCTTATGCTCAGGAGCGTTCATTGGAGGGTTGGAAAGAGCCCATGTGTCCTTGGGAGGCTGGGTGGGCACATGGTTGTCTCAGCTTGAGGTGGATGTTGGTGACCTTTTCTGTAAGCCAGAGTTCCCCTTTCGCAGAATAAGCAAGCAAACTGAGGAGCCCCTTCTCCCAAACATGTAAATACAACAATTCAATACTCAGGGTCTTAGGACTTTAAGGCCAAGTGAGGCTATTTGCACTGGTTTTATCATCCTAAACAAAGCTTCTAGATTGTTGTGAGCTTTATTAAATGATTAAATATTCATTAAAATACCATCCATAGGTTAAATAAAAGCAGAGTTGTCATTCATTTCATTTCCAGATATAATACAGAAACTGCTTGATGTATTTTTTTTTTGCAGTACTGCGGACTGAACCCAGGGCCTTTACAACAAACTGCAACCCCAGTGCATACACATACACACACACACATATGTGTGTGCGAACACACACACATACACACACACACCACTTTTTTAAAAAATTTGAGACAGAATCTCCATACATTGCTAAATTGTCCAGGTTGGGCTCAAATTTTCAACCCACCTGCCTAAAACTTTCAGAGTTACGGGATTTCAGGTGCATACCCCTGTACCAGAACCTAGGGATTCTTTTTTCACTCATTGGTTATAGTCAGATGATTATCATATACATTGCATTCGTGGATATATCCTCAAGATAAGTTAAATAGGTGTAGGAACCAGAACTTTTTATAAAATATTTATTGTAATGTGTATGAGTTTATTATTTTACTGATGAATAAAATGAACCCAAGAGAAGATAAATGAAGGTTACCCAGCTGATGGCAGGGTCTTTGAATGCTTAGATTCTCTCTTGTCCTATGTGGACTGAACATGATTAGGTAAGTCTCTTTATATTAAAAGACACAGAATCCATCCAAAGTCCTAAGAAATACAAAATCCAAGGCATATACTGCTTTTCCAAAGTTCTCATGTATCTGTGGTAAATAAAAGTGGGCACCATCAGAACTAGTTGAGCTAAAAATATTGGACTAAGAAGACTTAACTCATTATGGAGAGGGCCTTTTTCACAATGTCTTCTTAGCAACCATTATCATATATTAAAACTCAGAAGTTCAGAGATAGGAACCATTAGGCCACACATATAACTGCTATGTACTAAAGTTGTGTGTTTCAATTCAGCCAAGAGATCTTGGGTCTGGAGATGTTCTACTTTCCAAAGTGTATTTAATAACCCATATTTGCTTCATCACTTTGATTTTCTTTTCTTTCTTTCTTTTTTTTTTTTTTTTTTTTTTTTTTTTTTTTTTTTTTTTTTTTTTTTTTTTTTTGGTACCAGGGATCAAACTGGGGACCTTGAGCTTGCGAAGCAGGCGGCAGCACCACTAAGCCAAATCCCTTGGCCCCACTTTGATTTTCCTTTGAACTCAGGGCAAGCATTTTAGAATTCTGCCATAGATTTAAAAACACATGATTTGTTTTTCCTTATCCCCTTTGAATCTAGCTGCTTATCTCTCATGAAGCCTCATTTTCAGTTGAATGGTCCATCTCTAAGTAGGAAGTTATCTGAATTAAGAAATGCTGAACTAAAATAGCAGTTGTAATTTCCATGTCCTAACGGTTTTCTGTGCCTAATGATGTGCTCCAGTCAACTGATTTGAAGGTTGGTCTTCTAGGAAGCAAAGATATCCCAAATGTTCATTTGAAATTGTTGTAGGGTCTTCCCACTAAACTTGAGAACTAAGAGTCAAGGACTCGAGACTTCCTGACTCCTTTATCCTGTAGCCATTCTGAATCAACCTTGTCTCATTTCTCCTCAATTTATGGCCTATTGAGAAGGTAATAACAAAAACAGCTTAGGGGAGCAGATAGGGAAGGGGAGAAAAGAGGGAGAGTTAATGGGGGCAGTGGAGGAGGAAGGGGAAAGCTTGTGATTGTGGAGTGCAGAATCTGAAGGCACTTTCCGTGGCAGCTAGGTTCCATGTGTGGCAAATCCTCCTTAAAGCAATAAAGCATCTAAATGGAAACATCCAGAATCCCCGCTGGGTTTCCAAAGTGGATGTTATAGGCTAGACCATGTGCAGTTTCCCTTTGTAAGGCTAGCTGTGATCTGCGTGGGTCAGTCATACACATCAGCTTGAAGGAAAGGCAGTTAAGAGGTGAGTGGCGCTCTTGAGCTAGTGGAGCAGTTGTCTCTGCCTTCCTTGGGGTTACAGCTCTTTGTGTGGTTAGAGCTCTCCCTTGTTTGCCTCATCATTGCTTCTTCAGGTCATACTAAGCCATGGGTCTCACATTTATTATCTTGATGCTTACACATGTTTTAGGCTGGCTGCTTTCAGAAGCATGTTCAAGGTGCCTCCTTCTAGTTCAGTGCTTTTCAACCTTAGCTGTACATTCGAATCAGACGGGGCACTGTTTAAAAAAAAAAAAAGTCAGTGGGCTGGGGATTTAGCTCAGTGGTGCTGTTGCCTGCCTCCCAAGTTCCATCCCTGGTACCAAAAAAAAAAAAAAAAAAAAGAAAGTTAGCACTCGGGCCTCAGCCCTGGAGAATTTCATTTCATAGCTCTAGGCAGAGCTGCTTCCTGGGTGATGCTGATGTGCATCCAGACTTGTGAACTATTGATGGAGCCATTAGACTGTCTCCGGTCTCACTGTGAGGCCTTCTAACACCTTTTCCCACAGACGGCTAATTCCATTCATAAACCATAGATTCTTCCAAATCTCTTTATCAGAGGAGGAGCATCCTGATTCTACTCTTGAAAGTTGGAGTCACTGTCATTTTTAAGAACTGTAGCCATCTGTTCTGGGACAGTAGTTACCCTTGTCTTTACTCTGTTGGGTTGGGTTATATTGCGTGGGAAAACTTCAAGAAATTCACATAGATATGGACCTAGAAAAAAGGATTTGCACTTTCTGATTTGACTACTGATACCCAGAAAGTAGCGCCATGCAGGGCACATAATAAGATTCCCTGATTAACTATTTGTTGGATGATTAGATAATTGTGTTGCCATGGTGGAACCCAGTGCGGATCAAATGAACAGTCCCTATGATTAAAAAGAACACAAAGATAGTAGAAAGAGACTCCTGAGTGAGTGTGACCTTTCCCATTTGTTTTGTTTCTTTGATTTTAGATAGATTGGTATAGACATAGGATATTTAGAACAAAAGAGTTTGGGTGGAGATTAATGAAAGCACCATGAGTCTTCCTGTTCCAAGTGATTCAGAGATGGCATGAGTCAGACACCAAGTTTAGAAACCCTGCCCAGGATGGAGTTCCCATGGTTGTACCCATATAGGAGTCCAGTCATGCTGTAGGTGGCCACCTCGGCAGAGGTGGTCAGCTGGATGTTGGAAATAGAAGTAAGGCCAGAGCTCAGAGAAGGCTCCATGTAGATGAGATGTAGCCCTGCAGCCCCGCACTGTCAAGGTGTAACGGGTGTTCTAGCCTCTTCCTGCCTCACCTTGTGGCCTGGTCTGGAGAATGAGGCAGGAGTGAGGCAGAAGTGCTCATCGAACCACCTCAGGACTGTGCCTCTCCTCCACCAACCATTCTGATGGTCTTGTCAGATCATCTCTTTCTAGCAAACTTCACTCTGGCTTCCACCCCTGCTGTGCAAATGGAAATACTCCTGCAAGGTCCTCAAGGGACACTGTTGTCTGTTCCTTCCTTGAAACTGTATGCCCTGGACATCCTGTGTTTCCTGCTGCCTGTGCTCACCGGATGGGAGGGCCTTCCCAACCCAGGCTCACTCAGTTCTCCTCTTTCCCTTTCCCCAGGTCCAGTTCACCACTTAGCATTGCCACTGTGTGTCATGCTCCATAGATGCTGTTCCCATTTCTCTTCTCTTCACTGACACTAGTGCAGCTGTACACAGCCTCCTGAGGCCCCTTCTGGCCTCCTGCCTTGTACTTGACACTAAATCCATGCTCTGCCTGCTGCTGTGATCTTTCTGAAGCATGCATGTGATCATGTTTCTCCCATGCTGAAGGCCCCCCCACGAGGACTTCCTGTCACACCCTCCTTAATGTGCCACCAAGATACCCTCCTCCATGGACCTCTATGAGCTCTGCAGCCTCCCTATCATGTGAGACTGTTACTATCTGCGGGTAGTTTCCACCACGTGTTCTCAGGCTTCTTAGCCTCACTCCTGTTCTTTCTTTTACCTGGGTTGCCTTCCTGCCTCTCTTCACCCGGCCACCCTTTACTCACCCTTTAGGCCCAGCTCAAATATAATCTCCCCCAGGCCCTCTCTTCTCCCAGTGTGAACTCAGTGCCCATCTGAGGGATCGGCATTTCTCTCTCTAAATTATATCACAGTGTATCAAAACTAGCTACGGATGTGTGTCTTCTAGATAGGCACCCCTTGAAGGTAGCGATATTGTTTCATGTATCATTCAGAATCTAGAACAGTACATGCATACAGCAGACACTCCTTATATGTTTAGTAAACTCGAAGGAATGGAAATGTTGCAGAATTATGGAAAGTTCCCTGAGTCTCTTCCTTTGTCTTTGGCCCACGGTGGCCCCTTCCAAAAGTTCTAGACTCTACTCTCTTACCTGAGGTTGCTGTCTCTATTAAAGTGCCATGAGACCTTTCTCTCCCAAAGACTTTAGGAAGAAAGTTCAGGGCGTTTTTGGAGCCAGCCATTCTGAGACAAGTAGAAACTCTTGGGATCTGAATCCCCAGCACCTTAGTGTCTGCATGGGGTCATTGTCCTTCCACTTAAAGCAGACCTGTGCTTCTAGAAGCAGGACAACTCCTAGAGGGCCTCAGTCACTGCCAAAGCTTGGGTTGCTACACTGTTGGGACAGCAGAACACCTGGCTCTGTGCCTCACTGACCCACAGGGACCTCGATGACACATTTCCACCTACTAATTGCTGAGAGAGTTGATCAAATACACTTATTATGAAGACTGTTTGGCTTTTTGGAATTACTGTCATGTGACATTAATGCATTGGGATGCAGACTGAGGGTACTCAGTCCGAGACTCACTTTTTTCTGTATTTCAGAGCACACCTGCTGTTAAACATGCAGGTAGCCTAGTAATAATGATATATTTGGTAAAACATAAGTCGCCTAATAATAATAAACTATGTGTCTTCACTTTGGCTTTGTAACTATCTAAGCTTATTGCTTTTAAAGTTAGGCCTACCTTTATTCATTTCGGAGGTTCTATTAGGGTCTACTAGTCGTCTAGTTAGTCACTGTTCTTGTATATCCTGCCTCTTCCTGTCCCTCTTGGTCAAGGATGGACACTGATGTTTTCTTTCTGCCAGTGAAATCAGAACTTAGCTAATCCACGTGGCCACAAAGGCAAATTTTCATGCCAGCAGCTGGTTAGACACCCTGTGCAGAAGCCCTGCTCATTCAACAAGCATTGTGCTGGCCTCTTTACCCTCTGTTAATACCTCTCTCTCTCTTCTATGGGCATGTTTCCCTCCTTAGGTCCCTACCCTCATTAGATAAGTCAGACATAGCACAAGACAACTTCAACATTGCTTAAAAGACAAGAACAAGCACTTTGGAGAGGTGCAGCGGGGAGCAGTAGAGCAAGACTTTAAGGATTCTGGACCTGAAGGCAAATTAAATGTGTCCCAGCAGATCGAAACTGTTACTGTCTTTGATCAGCAATCCTCAGCTATGGTGTCCTTCTGATATAGACATTTTCTCTGTCTCCTGAATTTTCTGTAGGTATCGACAGGTCCAGGATTCCATCATATTTCCAGGGCTATTGTGTGGCTTTCTTGATGGGGGCCAACTGAGTGGGTGTTTTTCTCCTCTGAGTTACAGAAAGACAATCTCAACAGGGTGGTTAATGTGACATAGTCCCACTTCTGCACTTTGTTCAAACAAAGTTGTAGTGTCCACCAAGATAGCAACTCAAATAGCAGTGAGGTTAGAAGTAGGTGGTTCAGGGCTTTGGGAGCTTTGGAACCACATGAATCCCACACAACATGCTGGGTTTATAATAGAGTCACTCAGGGCTTCTCAAAGACCCTGTTTTCAAGAGGGAACAGATGAGCCTTTGTACAGCTCTAGGCTGGGCTGCTGACATCATGGGACCCCTCCCTGGGGAGGGACCCTGATTGTCACATGGGCATAGGCTATTGGGCTTGAGTTGAATTGCTGTATAGGTCTGGAGATGGAGGCCTTTCCTCTTCCCACACCAAGGGCTGCCTTGCTGGGCCAGGGAGGACTGCCCGACCGATGTAGGTATTAGATGCCCTTTTACCTGTTTCTGGCTTCAAAGCTAGTCCTAGGACACCAAGTAGGATGGAGCTAGTCCTTGATGATCTCTACAGCTTTGGCTCCCACCTGTATTGTCTTTTTCCTCCTCATTTCCTTATCACACTCTTTTCTTCTCTGTGCCATCCCTTGTCTGCCCAGCAATGCCCATAGTTATTGCCTGCTTTCAGGGGCACCCCTGCTAAAGGAACCTTAGACGTCTTCTCCCTGCAGGAGCCTATGACCTGCTGTGCCACAATTCCAATAATGTACAATGTCACTTAATTTCCACTTGTTTCAGGTCATACACCTGCCCCTCTGTTGAGAGTGGTTCATAGGTTACCAGAAACTTCCACACCCAGCCCCATGGAGAAACAGATGGGCAGGCTTAAATTGTACCTTAAATACTCCTGGCCACTCTGTGTGGCCTGGGAATTGTTGACAGTGAAAAAATGAGAGAGAAAGGGGGGCAGAAAATGTTTTGAGGACCCTCAGAGGTCACAGCTTGAGGGGTGTAGAACAGAAGTGAAAAGTGACTCATTTTCCTTTTTCCCACACCTGCCTCTTCCTGGATCTGACCCTGTGAGCAGATTGCTTATTTTGTTTTGAGACAGATTCTCACTATGTAGTTGAGACTGACATGGAACTCACTATGTAGCCCAGGCTGGTCTTGAACTCACAGCGATCCTCTTGCCTCAGCCTCCCGAGTGCTGGGGTTACAGGCGTGCCCCACCACGTCTGGCGCTACCACCGTCAGGGGTGGCAGAGCAGTGGGCTCTCCCTCGCCAATGTGTCCCTCTCATCTGCAGGTCTATGCGTGATGAGCGCGGCAGCCATCTACACGGTGCGGCACCCCGAGTGGCATTCCAACTCCGACTACTCCTACGGCTTCGCCTACATCCTGGCCTGGGTGGCCTTCCCCCTGGCCCTTCTCAGCGGTGTCATCTACGTGATCTTGCGGAAACGTGAATGAGGGGCCCCGACGGTCTGTCCAAGGCTCTGAGTGTGCACAGGGAAGGGAGGAATGAAACAAGAAAGCAGAAAAAACAAAAACCAACCAACCAAAAGAGCTAGCCAAACACCCAAACTCCAGCCAAACCAAACAGAAAGCAGTTGAAGGGGGGGGTTGCTGTTGACTGAAGATGTATATAATATCTATGGTTTATAAAACCTATTTATAACACTTTTTACATATATGTACATAGTATTGTTTGCTTTTTATGTTGACCATCAGCCTCATGTTGAACCTTAAAGAAGTAGCTAAGGAACTTTACATCCTAACAGTATAATCGAGCTCAATATTTTTGTTTCATTTCTTGATCTTTGGTTTTGCCCCCAAATAAAATAGCTTGATACGGCCCCCTCCCCTTCGTTTGAAACATGATACCTCCCTCCCAGTCCCTCCTAGAAAACCAAAGTGTGGGGATAAACCCACAGTGGCTAAAAGTCCTTATGTCATGGGTGTCCCAGGGTATCCATCAGAAACGTCCACTGCCTAAACTTCTGTGTGAAGCCCTAGGCAAGCACAGATCAAACATCCAGACCGGAGCCCTCTGCAGAAACACGGTTGTGGCTTTGGAAAACTTGCCCTTGCAGGCGGAGTACCTTGGTCACGTGTCTAAATGAAGAATCGGGGACAGCAAATCTGTGAAATGGTGCTATGGATTTACCATTCCTTATATTATCACTAATCACCTAAATGACTCACTGGAAATTCAATTAACAGTTTTATGACATAAAGTAGAATGGAGATCTAGATCATTCTGTGTAATATAAATGGTTTATAACTGCTTTTGTACCTATCTAGGCTGCTGTTATTACTATAATGAATAAACCCTAAAGGCTTCATCACTTCCACATTTTTCTTATGGTCAGAGCATCAGGACAAGTGTCTAGCCCCTTGGGACTGTGATTTCCCAGGGCTTAGGCGGGTCTGGAATGTTCTGTGCCTCCAGGACTGTCTGGCAATGACTTGTATTGGCCACCAACTGTAGATGTATATACGGTGCCCTTTTGATGCAAAGACTCCAGACCTTCATTTTTTGCTTTGCTTTTTCTGATTTTATACCATCTGTGTGGACTAAGATGCATTAAAATAAACATCAGAGTAACTCACTCATCTCTCTGACTTTTGTGGGACCTGGGCGTGGGTACAACATACGCGTCAGTGTGAGTTGAGCAGCTGCAACAGAAAGCAAGTTTGAGCTGGTGTTAGGGATTGAAGTGTGCTGTTAGGGGTTCGATCACACCTGTCTTACAGGTTAAAGGGAGCATACGATACATTCAGATGGCGATGCAGGCTGCTACTAACTGGAGAGAGCCTGGAATTGTAGCTGAAATGAAGGGTGTAAATTCCCTGGAAGGCACTTGAGTGCTCATCTGGACCAAGCTTCTCTCTTGTGCTCTATCCTCTGATCCCAGTGGGGAACGTAGAAGCGTGACATGAGCGGACTTGGCATGCAGGCTATGTTGCTGTGAACAGCACAGACCCCTAACCTGAAAGGTCTGAATGATGGTGATATTGGGCCACATAAAACATTAGTCCTCTCAAACTGAGCTCCTCACGCCCTCCTGAGAGAGAGAAAAGGTCAACTCCCTGTCAGCCAGCTCCAGGTTTCCAGGCTGTGTCTCGTAACTTTTGCGCATCAACTCTGTACTGTGCATCTGCAACAAGTGAAGGTGATGATGTACTTGACATTCTTGAGTTGTCATCGAGCCCCTGAGGAGGGGAAAAGCCAAGAATGACACAATTATGTCAGGACAGAGGAGTAACTTTGAAAGAGCATGGAAGAAGGAAATATTGATTGGTATGGGAGTTCTCAGTATCCAGTTGCACTCTGGAGTCTCTTGCGCAGGAGGCCATCCCAGAGACCTTGATTTCATGTGTCCATGACTGGGCTGAGAGGGTGCAATCAGGGATGAAACCTCCTCATTCATTCGGGGCTTCTCAAAAGTTACTGTGCTCCTGAATCACCTGGGAACCTGGATAAGACAGATTCTGGCTCAGTAGATCTGAGTGACTCCTGACATCCTGCATTTCCAGTTAGTGCTCGAGAGATGATGATGGTGCTGTTCTCCCGACCATGCTCTCAGGAGCAAGAGCCACGATGAAGCCACGTGCAGGCACCTGACGCTCTTCTGCCTGAACATCAGTGACACGAAAGCCTGTCCCACCTGGAGGTTTCAGTAGTGGACCCACTGCTGGGCTTTTGATTTAGGGAAGTTAGAGTGGCACAGATAGCCATGAGATGCCTGTGAAACTAAGTTATTGAGAAAACTAGGAGTTTCACCCCAGATGCTTGTTCTTTGGAAAACGTACTCTTTTATTCTATAAACACTTTTGTGATATTTTACTTTAACACATAAGAAAAAGAAGAAAACAAAACAACAACTACAAAAAGGACTCCAAATCTCTCCACTCAGGTAACCCTGCTGGCATTTAAAACTACATGTATGTATTTGAGATTATAGCATCCTAACCATACCTAGAGGGAAGAATAAAATCTGAGTGACTTGTTCATGCCTCACAGTCTCTTATCAAGAGTAACCAGAAGACATAATTTCTTATGATTGCCTCTAAGAAAAAAGCAATGTCCATAGGTAAACATTCATTCATATATATTTTAAATGTTGCACAATGATCATATTGCTCATACTGTTCTGTGTCTTGTTTTCTAAAAGCTTGAGCTCTTTCTGGTTTTAGTACATACCTTATTCTTTTAAACGAGCCCTGCTTTTTTCTTTCTTTCAAAATTCCACATAGTATTTTATTGGTGTAGCTTTAAAACCAACCTTTACTTACCAGCCACTTATAGCCAGTTTGGCTGTGTCCTGGTTTTTATTATTACCCAACATATTTCAATGGACATTGTTATCCATGAATATTTTTGATTTTCAAAGTATATTCAACTGTTAAATTCCTGGCCAGGATATTGTCAGGACAAAAAAAAAATTCACATGTTTAGGAATTTAATGTTTTAAAAAATTTCCTTGTTTTATTTTAAAAAGTTTTTACTTTATTTGTACATGTTTGCAGTTCATGTAGTTTACAGTTGTCTTGAGGAATGATCACACGTACATATCACAGCTTGTTTCTTTCTTTTCAGTCTCCTTCCCTTCCCCTCCCCGCTTCTTCCTCCAGTTCCCCTATCCCATTTTTCATTCTTGTTGATATTACTCGTCTTAGCTCATGTAATGGCATATAATGCTTATATTAATTGGAATTATTAGGGTCCTGCACATGACATGCCTTTATCCTTCCTATTTCCTCTTCCCCCCCTCCTCACCCCTCATCCCTAATCCCTTGGACCCCTTCCCTATTGCAAGACATTCATCCCCTTGTCCCCTTCTAGCCACTCTTTATCGTTTTCTTTGTACTCTGCCTCACTCAAATGAGAGATGCCATACAATATTAAAGCTTGTGTGTCTGCTTTATTTCACTCAACATTATGTTTTCCAGGTGCCTCCATTTTCCTACAGGAGTTTAATTTATATGTCCCATGTAGTCCCTGGAAAAATTACATTAACTACAGCTGAGCTTTACTGCGTGCGTGTGTGTGTGTGTGTGTCCCTGAGAGTCAAACACAGGGCTTCATGTATTCTAGGCAAGCACTGTATCACACACCAACTATATTGAGCCTTACCTTCTGCATGTGACTCATGGGTCCAGCAAGAACAGAGGAACATTAAAATAAAACACTAAAATACAAACAGTGTATCTGCTCCCAGTTCTCTCAAGCATGAATGTTACTGATCTCCCATCCTGGAGCCGTTTCAATGAGGTGCTTCACATCCACACTTTGAACACTAAATGCCATCATGGTTTATGTGGCCATGTCTTACTCTGATTTTTGAGCATCCGATGTAGAAAGAACAGTTTTTCAATGAGCAGTGCTGAGGTGATTGAATATCCACATGAAAAAATATGAAGGCAGATTCTTATGTAACACCATATACAAATATTAACTCAAACTGAATAAAGAAATCTAAATATAAAAACAAACTATAATACTTGTAGAAGACAATAAGGGATAAATCTTCATGACTTGGATTTGCTACAGGATTCTTAGATACAATACCCAAAAATAAACAACAAAAGAAAAAAAATCAATAAATTGGATTTTATCAAGACCCCCCAAAATTGTCTTTCAGATAACAGTATTAAGAAATTGAAAAGACAACTCACCAAACAGAAATATTTGCAAATCATACATCTGATAAAGGAGTTGTACCTAAAATATGTAATGAGTTCTTACAGCTCAGTGATAAAGAGACAACCCAATTTTAAAAAATGGGAAAATAGCTGGGTAAACATTTTCCAAGTGGCCCATAAACACATAAAAAGCTGCTTGACATCATTAGTCATCAAGGAAATAAAAACAAAACCACAAGGAGATATCACTTCCCACACAATAGTTAGAATCTAAAACTGATAGTAACACACTGGTGAGGATGTGAAGGAGCTGGAACACTCACACATTACGATGAGAATGAAAACGATGGGTCCGCTTTGCAAAACATTCTGACAGTTCCTCAAAAATTTAAACAGAATTACCATATAATACAGCAATTCCCACCCTCTATATAAACTCAAGAGAAAGGAACACAGGATATCTATACAGGAACGTGTACAGAGATGACTTAGCAACACCATTCATACTAGGCTAGAGGAGGAAACAGTGCAAACGTACCCCAAGTGATGAATGAAAATGTGCTGTATCCATACATTAGAATATTATTTGTCTGTAAAGAGGGTTGCTTCACTGCTATGTGCTACAACCCAAGTGGACCTTCAAAGTGTGATTCTAAGTGCGAAAGGCTAGTTATGAAAGATTCCTTATGTGTGATTCCAATCATAGGAAAGTCAAGAACATCAAAGTCAGCAGACTGAAAGTAGACTGGTGGTCATTTAAAGCTGGGAGATGGGGACAGGAGTGCAGTCTCTGAAGAGGGTGGTGTCTCCTTGTGAGGTGATGACAGTGATCTAAAACTGACTTGTGGGACAGTTACGTATCTTTGTATAAAGGTGAATAGCTAAAAAATATGAAGTTTATTCTCACCCCTACTTGTAGTGAAAATTTATCTCTGCAAAGGTGTTACAACAGCTGTTGGTTCCAGCTATTCCTAATTTTCTCGTTAACTGTACTGGTTTTAAGCAAACATACCTTTTATTTCTGTGGTTGGGTTTTTTTTTTTTTCCTTTTTAAAGATAAGATTCTTAGTCCTTCTGAGCAGTACAAAGCAAAATGGGATATTGGGAATGAACAGTTAACATATTTCTTCACTAACAGAATCTTGGGTTTTCCCAAAGGATTGTTTTGATGACATTTATTTTCCACCCTTGAGCACTTCCGAGAAGTAGGAATTTATAGAAACGGAGTTTTGATTGGAACTGCCCTTTTAGCAGCTGCATTTGGCTCTGCTTCCCACCCTGGGAGGGTGTCCTCACAAAACGGCAAGTGTCCCCAGGGAAATTGCTGCTCAGACATCAGCCTGCTGCTGCTGCTCTCCACTTCTCTTCTCTCCACA